CATATCCTTATTATTTTTCCTTTCCAGTTTTTATGTTGTACGTCATTTCCGCCTCTCCCTTTTATTGCGATATTCTCCATCTATATAATATTGTGATTGCTACATAAGTTCAGTAACATCTGTAAACCTGAAGAAGGCCGGTATGGCCGGTCGAAAGATTGTTATAAAAAACAATACACGTCGTTTTAAATCAGCTGTGCAGTAATATTTGGACTTCTCGTTCTTGGTTCTTTATATTTTGGCTGATTAGATCCCTTTTCTAGAGATCCAACGTTTACAACTAGCAGGATCTTCGTCCACGGTTTTTGCAGTTAATTTGATATCTTTTAGGGGTCAAAAAAAGCTTGGGCCCCGTCCAGATCGGTCTCCTTTAGTGGTTTAATTCAAAATCTCCGACGAGCATCCCCACCCCTTTGATATGCGGAGTCTCCCCCTCCCCCGCGGGCACTTATCATCATAGCGACAGCTTTAATACATCTAAGAGGGATGCATTTATCCGATTATCTTGCTTGGCAATTTACAAGTACTTTAGTATACATAAACTTATCACTGAACCCCTTTATTTATTGCTGAAAGATCAGAGAAGTGAAATTAGCTGTAAAAGAAACATTACGGCGACTCGTCCATCGATGGAGCGGTTAGTTTACTATGGTCTACTCTACTTTTTAGCTATAAATTCATTCCAAACCAAAACTTCCTTTACGGAAAAATCCTCCCCGAAAAGAAATGAACGGTTTTAGTTGAATCAATTTTTTATACAAGCGAGCATTGCGATACACAAAGCCCATATACTCCAGTAAAATGCATGGGGAAAGCCGCGAGCAGAATTTATTTCACTGGAGAATTTCAGTTTTCCATTCAGGCTAGCGGTATATCACGTGAATCAGTTACTGTCTTAATTTACACTGATTAAATGTGTTACAGAAAACACCCGCGTGTAAGAACCTAGTGGTTTAAAAACCTACTGGCAGAAATTGTTCACTTTAATTTACCCAAACATAAAAGAACCTGTTTAGCCAAGCAAGATCAAGCAGGTTCGTATATGTGGGTTAAAGTTCAATCATTGCTTTCGAGGTACTAGAACGCAACCCCTTAATTTCTGTTGGGTGTCCTATTCATTATTGGGTGTCCTGTGCAATTAATAAGGGAGGTTTTTTCGAGATTGCATTTATGTCGACACATATTTGCCTCGCTTTGAGGCGCTTGCTTACGTTTTGCCTCTCTTTGACACGCTAACTCACGTGGTGATTCGTGTGTTCATCTTTCAAACGTTTTCTGAGGTCTGCTATTCTGTCTTCGTAAAGCGTTCATCTTTTAAAAGAGCGCTGAATCTTCGTAAAGCTTCCATATTTAAGAGTTTGAAGAAGGTCTACTATCGATCTGTGTTTAATGAATTTTCCAAAACGTTCATCTTTCGAAAGTTTGCTGAAAGTTTACACCCTGAGTGAAATTTTACTTTGGATGAAGCCTTCATATTTTTCTTTGGGAAATGCGTGCGACTCCTGATCGGGTTGTTTAGCTCGGCGTCCGTTGTGGACGTTGTGCCACGAAGTAAATTTACCGGCGAGTTGTGAAGATCGGCGTCAGTCGTGCCACAAAGTAAATCTACTGAGTTGTGTAGCTAGGCGTCCGTTATTCCACAAAGTAAATCTACCGAGATGTGAAGCTCAGCGGCGCCTTTTCACCACTGGACTCAATTCTATGATATATATTATTTACATTTTATAACCTTGTTTTTGCATTATATTTCGTCGTCTTTGCTCTGTGTTTAATAAAACTGCATCGCTCTCAGCCAATCCTCAGATTTAAGAATTTTTTTTCATGTCTATTATTATGATCAAAAACAAGTTACATTCAAATAATTCCCTAAGCTCTGAAACAGTTTCATTTTCAGTTTTTTTTTTTTTTTGCCAAAAACGAAAACTTGATACATATGCATACAGACATTCAATATTTTACAAAAATGTTATTTAAAGATTAAAGAGACATAAATTGTAAGGAAAAGAATTAAACAAAATTTTTCTGGCGAGGAAGCTCAAATGGAAACCTTGGGGCTTATTATATGAGCTCCCTCCCTAAACTAAGACTAAACATAATGAATAAATAAACGGCAAAGTTATACTGAAATATAATTAGGATAAAAAGCAAACAAAACAAAACGGACAAAAAGCAACAAAAAACAAGTATTATTTACAAATGGTTAATCAACTAAGAAGAAATGTTTTTAATCTGGATTTAAAAAGAGAGATAGTGGCAGCAAAAACGAACGTAAAGCATTTTTTTCTCTTTAATTCTCATCTCGTAAGTATATGGTACAAACTGACCCAGACATAATTTAGCCCATTTTTTGAACAGGTGTATAACTGTTAAGACTTCCTGGCTGCGATGAGACGATTAGTAGTACATTAATAATTTACTGAGCGCGTCAGTTAAGCCTGTGGCAATTGATTAAACTTGGCCTTTTTGAATCAATTTGGATCTTTGTTCTACAGATGTATCGATCAAGAATCGGTTAATAAACTTTGTATCACTGATTTCTTATTTTTTATAAGTTAATGGATACATTTGTACATATTGTATATAGTTCTCCCGAATTACTTATTTTCTTATACTGTACATAGGGTTTTCTTCATTTCTTAATTCTTATATTGTTTTTTTTTTTCATTTTAATTAATTGATTAATTGATTTATTCTTTTTTAACTTGTTTTAGTGTCCCCACTTAATGGTTATACACCGCTATTACAGTTTTGACACTTAAATAAAGGTATCATCATCATCATGACAGTTTAGCTCGTTTTCTAAAAACCAGAAGATAAGGCTATTTGTTTTGCCAATTGCATGGCAGCAACAAGATTGCCAATAACTACGTCGTTTAATAAAATAAAAATACAGCCCACCGCATATCTAATTGGTTTTCGACATGATGAAGCTATCACATAAGGAAAACAGATATATTAAAAAAAGGTTCGCTACCAAACAATTAGAGAACTGTATTGTTAATCTGCAAAATTCACTGGAGAGTCGAGGAGAGGTACATGGCGAACTAATGTTTCTCTAAGACAAAAGAGGACAGCTAAATATGATGGTGAATGATGGTGCAAGTTCCATGTTGATAATTTGGGTTTACTACACTCAATCGAAATGAACGTCACCATGGCGTTTTTAATTTTAAATATTTTACCCTTCATATAACAGATCCGAATTGTACGCGCCGGGAGATGATGTGAACGGGGGAAATAAATTAAAAAAGCAATTTAAATGAAGATATAATCTTGACGTAGTGAAATAGCAATTTAAGCAATTGCAAAATAAACCGCCCAAAATGTTAAAGTTATAGCCAACAAAGTTTGACATGTTTGGGGATATACTCGGTTAAGACTTCCTCTTCTAAAGAAAATGTGGCCAATTTAGTGCTGGTATCCATGTGAACGTCAGTCAAAGTTGAAGAAAAAACACAGAAACACTTTAATATAAGCCCCAGCAGTAACAGGCTCGCCAATATAAGCTCCCGTCTAACTTGCATTGAAATGAATTTGATTTATTACGATATTTTGAAGCTTTTACCAGTAACTGCAAAACATATTTAAATCAGCACTGCGTTAGCTTGTTTGGAACAGCTTTTTCCAATTCCGTTATAATGCCCCTCGGATATAAGCCCCTCCGTTTAATTTATCAAGAGCCCTTCTAAAAACCCTTACAAAGACGTATAATCCCAGGGCTTTTACGCGGCAGTTTACGGCACCGCATATCATATGTTTGGCTCACAAACTTAACACCTCCGTTAGCAAAATTTTCTCTTTCTTGCTTTCACTATGTTTAATAAAACTGCTGATTGCTCTCAGTTAATCGTCGAATTTAATTTTTTTTCTCATTGTTTTTATATGATAAAAACAGGTTACATTCTAATTTCCTAAGCTCGAACGAATGTTTTATTTTCTTTAATTCCCACCTCGTAAAAGGCCCAGACTTTCGAGTCCATTATTTGAACATTTGTACATTGTTACTGAGACCTCACTGTCTGCGATGACATTATGAACGCGTCAGTTTAACTTCTAGCAATTGACGAAAACCGTTTTTTACTCAATTTGAATATATGCTTAACAGAAATATCGATCAAGACTTGGTTAATAGACTTTTTATTACTTTTTATCGCGCAAGATGGCGGCTGGAGAGTTAAACGCGTGGAGAGTTTAACAGTCCAGAATTTAAGAGTTTAAGTGTACAGAATTTAACCCAGAGCATGAGTTTAACGGCGTGTCTCCCCTTGAACAGTTTCAAAAAAGAATATAAACTGTTTCTACTTGACAGTCAGGCATCTTGAACAACTTTAATCTGTTACTTAGTTTTATTTATTTAATTATTTAATTTAAATAGTTTTTTTTTATTAGTACCGTATAACCTCCACCCACTTGTAATTGCTCTGTGGTAGTAGCCAACTCGAAAGCTTGGCTCCTTTGGCTGCTTCACACTCTTCCTTTTTTATGGTTAATTCAATGTATAATTAGCTCTGTTTTTTACTTCTTCCTTTTTTTTTCCTTTTTGTTGCATTGTAATTGAATAAGTATGAATAAATGAACTTGAACTTGAACTTGAACTTGAACAGTTTAACTCGTTTTCTAAGAGCCAGGCAATTGTGCTATTTGCTCGCTGATCGCACGGCAACACAAAGGCAACACTAAGATTGTCGAATTCCATCGTTTAATAAACTGAAAATACAGAGCAAATATTTAATTGTTTGCTGACAAGGTGCATGTAGCAGTCATATAAGGAGGACAGATATATTAACAAAGAGTTCAGTTGACTGTAGACGCATCGCAGAAAAGTCATGGAAATGAAAAATTTTACTGGAGGTGAAAACCCGCAAACAATGGCAGAACTTTACTGCTCTGTGGAATTTACGGGAGAGGTACATGGCGAGCTCTTTTTTCTCTGTTTCCTTAACACTTTTTTGTCAATTACAGCATTTTTGGGGAATACTCTCATCCTAGTTGCCCTACACAAGGACACATCAATTCATCCGCCATCAAAACTCCTGTATCGTAACCTTGCGATAACCGATCTCTGTGTTGGTATCATTGCGGAGCCTCTACAGGTTGCATATTCGATATCTGTGGTGAACAAAAGATGGGATATTTGCTATTACGCATATTTGATAACATATTTGCTAGGTGTTACTTTGTGTTCAGTGTCCTTGATAACACTGACTACAATAAGCGTGGACAGACTTCTCGCTTTGCTACTGGGTCTCAGATACAGACAAGTTGTAACTTTGAAAAGAACGCGTTTTATTGCTATTGGTGGTTGGATTGTGTCTGTTGTCGGTGCATCTACATTATTTCTGAATCTTCTTGTTTTTTCATTGTACCAATATATTGGTGCAGCCTTTTGTTTAGTCACTACAATCTGTGCCTACACAAAAATCTTCATGTCTCTGCGTCATAACCAAATTCATGTTCAGAACCATGTTGTTCAAGGGCAATCGAGCCAAGTAAATACACTGAATAAAGCTCGATACAGAAAGGCAGTGTACAGTGCACTGTGGGTGCAGGTAACATTGGTTATTTGTTATCTGCCGTTCCTTATAGCTGCAGCTTTAACACCTCAAAGGGGGATGCCGTTATCTGCTTACCTTGCTTTGCAATTTACAGTTACTTTAGTGTATTTAAACTCGTCGTTAAACCCGTTTCTGTACTGCTGGAAGAACAGAGAAGTGAGAAAAGCTGTAAAAGAAACAGTACAACAACTATACTTCTGTATCAACTAAGACTTAGACTAAAAACATTTACTAACGAACTTGATAGGAAAATATATATAAGAAAACCAGACAAATGTCCTAGTCCGAATTGCACCTTTAAGATTGTTTTCTGTTTCAATGCAGATTGTAAAGACACAAACAAAATCATTTGTTTATGTTAAAAAGTTTAATAATCATAAAAAAAATGAAAATGTCACTAAAACTAGTCAGTTAGCTGATTAGTTCTCTGGCAATGAAGACTACGAAGTAGGGAGATACTCTTAAAGAGAACAGCTCACTTGATCGCAACACCACACACGTACCACACCGACAAACTCTTTTGACTAATGTTTTTTAAAGCCAGAAGAGAATCAGAGAGCTTTACTGTTCTGCGGAATTTACTGGAGAGGTACATGGCGAACTTATTTTGAAAATACACCGCATAAATAACAGCTGTTGATAACCATAAAAGCCACTATGTTCATAGTATAATCATGTTTAAAAAACGTCATAAGTTCAGTTTGGTAAAACTAATCAGGCCGCAAACAAATATTACTTTTCCGAATGCTTTTTCAAAATCGAACAATGTTTATTGTGGGATAATCAGTGAGGGCCAGTACATGATGTAAGTTAAATTTGATGGCCAATAAATGCACATTAACATTGTTTTGTTGCCTAACACAAGTCATTTTAATAAAAGCTTGGGAGAATACAAAGGTTTTTGTTTTTAGATATAATGAAAAGTGAACCTTTATACTTCTGGTTTGCAGGTGACGTCACTGCGGCCATCTTGGTGGTTTTCTCTGGGAAGTAACCTCTATTTTCATTTAAATCCTTCGAGAAACCAATTCTATTATATTGACCCCCAGTATGGCCGTCTTGTCACGTGGTTGCAAACTAAGAATATCCACATGGTAATGTGATATCAGTGGAGGAGAAGGGGCTGTCATAAGTCCCCCTCGGGGGATTGCTCAGATGACTAACTATTACCTACTGTTGTTATTTGCCATCGTATCAATTGTTTTATCCGAAATAAGTGTGTTGCGAGGTCGAATTATTGTAGGAATTAGTAGCAAAAGCGAAGTACTTTCTCAGCTAAGAGCTAAAGAAGACTCATATACAATGCTTAAAGAATGGAACATCGCCATGGCCCTAGGGCACGAAACCCCCTCTTTTACAAAAATAGGCCTTGGGTTCATATAACGATTGAGTACGCCAGCAGCACTGTTAACATTTCTTCCCTAGGCTAGTTAGTTAAGCCTTCTCTCCCGGGTCTCACTTTCAAATTCGTTCCTACGGGCCTGCATGACAACACAGCATATCTCAGGAAAAAAAAAGCGGCGAGAAAACTGCTCGGTCAAAAAGTTTGGCTAAGCTTGGTAATTTTTTTTGCTCGTCACACAAAAACAGGAACACGTTGATTTGGCCAATTGATTGTTTGGTGAATCATAATAAAAACTTATCTTCTCGGAGAAATGGTAGTCTTTCGTTGTTTTCACTTTATTTGTAATTAAACTTTAATTTGAATAATTATTATAGGTAAGTGCATCAATCTTAGCCATCGGTAGCTGTCCGGCAAACTGTGAAAGTTTTACCTCGAATTACGGATTGCTTACTAGCCTACGTAATTCAGTTTACTTCAACAAAGAGAAGAAGAACAACAGTCAACAAGCTGTAAACTAATCGAACAACAGATAGAGGTGCTATGTACAAGTTGTTGTATATGGGGAAAGTATATATATATATATATATATATATATATATATATAATATATAACTTCACAGAAGTTCAGGTTTCACGAGTAATCATCGTTTTATTGCTACAGGTAATATAATATATATATATACTTTTACCTGGATTTTTGAACTTGGTTTAGCAAAAAAATCAACTCACTCTACTACTTGGCAATTTAAAACAATGAAAATTCATTAAAAGGCTGATTAAAAGCCTTTATCTGACGCCAGGCAGTAAGGCAGTAGTGGTCCCTAGAAGTATTTCAACGAGTCACAATTTTAATCATGTCAAGTGATTTCTGCACCGTTCTTTGAAGTTAGTCGGTTGCAGGCAATTACCTTCAAGAGGGCATTCCGGTTTCTTGACCGTAATTGCCTCAGACAAAACGTGATTTATCAAGCGACTGTAACGACTGGGACAACACCAGAATCATACATTGGACTCAGTAGCCACTACCTTCAAAGAACGGTACAGAAATCACTTGACATCCCCCACTCGCTGTTCTACGCTCGTTTCCCACACCCCGCATTGAACTCCACCCTCCTCACTTAGCTTTGGAAAAGAAACACGTTTCACGCGCAAAAATTCTCAAAGGCAGTCTTAAAATTGCTCAGTCTCCGCAGTAGTTGCATTTTGTTCCACAAAAGTTGGCGGAGTTGCTTGACGGCACCTCAGTGCGAACTGTAGAACTAAAAAAATGCCCTTCAGCATGACTTCAGGGTGAATCTGTTATCAGAGGGTCTACCAAGTTGTGTAGCTCGGCGGCAGTTATTGCACAAAGTAAATCTACCTAGATGTGAAGCTCGGAGGCGCTTTTTCATTACTGGACTCAATTCTATAATATATATTATTTACATTTTATTACCTTGTTTTTGCATTATATTTCCTCGTTTTTGCTCTGTGTTTAATAAAACTGCACTGCTTCTCGGCCAATCCTCAGATTTAAGAATTGTTTTTCAATCATGCTATTATTATGATGAAAAACAGGTTACATTCAAATAATTCCGTAAGTTCTGAAACAGTTTCAGTTTCAATTTACTTATTTTCTTTTTTTGCCAGAAAAAAATACAAATGCATACAGACATTCAATATATTACAAAAATGTCATTTAAAGATTAAAGAGACGTAAATTGTAAAGAAAAGAATTAAACAAAAATTTCTGGCGAGGAAGCTCAAATGGAAACCTTGGGGCTTATTATATGAGCTCCCTCCCTAAACTAAGACTAAACATAATTAATAAATAAACAGCAAAATCATACTGAAATATAATTAGGATAAAAAGCAAGCAAAACACAACGGACAAAACAGACAAAAAGCAGCAAAAACAAGTATTATTTACAAATGGTTAATCAACTAAGAAGAAATGTTTTTAATCTGGATTGAAAAAGAGATAGTAGCAGCAAAAACGACCGTAAAGCATTTTTTTCTCTTTAATTCTCATCTCGTAAGTATATGGTACAAACTGACCCAGACATAATTTAGCCCATTTTTTGAACAGGTGTATAACTGTTAAGACTTCCTGGCTGCGATGAGACGATTAGTAGCACATTAATAATTTACTGAGCGCGTCAGTTAAACGTCTGGCAATTGATTAAACTTGGCCTTTTTTAATCAATTTGAATCTTTGTTCTACAGATGTATCGATCAAGAATCGGTTAATAAACTTTGTATCACTGATTTCTTATTTTTTATAAGATAATGTGTACGTTTGTACATATTGTATATAGTTCTCCCGAATTTCTTATTTGCTTATACTGTACATAGTTTTTCTTAATTTCTTAATTCTTATATTCTGTTTTTTTTTCATTTTTAATTAATTAATTAATTAATTATTCTTTTTTAACTTGTTTTAGTGTCCCCACTTGGTGGTTATACACCGCTATTACAGTTTTGACACTTTAATAAAGGTATCATCATCATCATCATGACAGTTTAGCTCGTTTTCTAAAACCCAGACAATTGTGCTATTTGTTTTACCAACTGCAGGGCAGCAACAAGATTGCCAATAACTACGTCGTTTAATAAAATAAAAATACAGCCCACCGCATATCTAATTGGTTTGTGACATGATGAAACTATCACATAAGGAAAACAGATATATTAAAAAAAGGTTCGCTTGAACGTAGTTGCTTCGGAGAAAAGTCATGGTAATGACAAACTACCAAACAATTAGAGAACTGTATTGTTCTGCAAAATTCACTGGAGAGTCGAGGAGAGGTACATGGCGAGCTAATTTTTCTCTGAGCCAAAAGAGGACAGCTAAATATGATGGTGAATGATGGTGCAAGTTCCATGTTAGTATTTTGGGTTCACTATACTCAATCGAAATGAACATCAATCACCATGGCGTTTTTAATTTTAAATATTCTACCTTTCGTATAACAGATCCGAATTAGACGCGCCGGGAGATGATGTGAACGGGGAAAATAAATTTAAAAAACCATTTTAAATGAAGATATAATCTTGACGTAGTGAAATAGCAATTTAAGCAATTGCAAATAAACCGCCCAAAATGTAGCCCACACATTCTGACATGTTTGGGGATAAACTCGGTTAAGACTTCCTCTCCTAGCCAATTTAGTGCTGGTATCCATGTGAACGTCAGTCAAAGCTGAAAAAAAACGGCACAAGCAATTTGAAGATACAAAATACAGAAACACTTAAAAGCCCCCCAAGTTTAATGTAAGCCCCACCAGTAACAGGCTCGCCAATATAAGTTCCCCTCTAACTTGTATTGAAATGAATGTGTTATATTATGATATTTTGAAGCGTTTACCAGTAACTGCAAAACATATTTAAATCAGCACTGCTTTAGCTTGTTTCGAACAGCTTTTTCCATTCCCGTTATAATCTCCCTCGGATATAAGCCCCTCCGTTTAATCTATAAGCCCTCCTAAAACCGCTTACAAAGATGTATAATCCCAGGGATTTTAAGCGGCTGTTTACAGCACCGCATATCATATGCTCGGCTCACAAACTTAATACCTCCTTTGGCGAAATTACTAAAACTGCATTGCTCTCAGCTAATCGTCGAATTCAATATATATATTTTTTTCATGATTTTGATTATGATAAAAACAGGTTACATTCTAATTTCCTAAGCTAGAACGAACGTTTTATTTTCTTTAATTCCCATCTCGTAAATGCCCCAGACTTTAGAGCCCATTATTTGAACATTTATACATTGTTACTGAGACTTCGGTGCCTGCGATGACCCTGTGAGCGTGCTGCGCGGGTCATTTTAACTTCTGGCAATTGACGAAAACCCGTTTTCTACTCAATTTGAATATATGCTTAACAGAACTATCGATCAAGACTTGGTACGGTTAATAGACCTTCTTATTACTAACAGTTTAGCTCGTTTTCTAAAAGCCAGGTAATTGTGCTATTTGCTCCTTAATCGCACAGCAAAACAAAGGCAACAGCAAGATTGTCGAATTCCGTCGTTTAATAAACTAAAAAAACAGAACACATATTTAATTGTTTGCTGACAAGGTGTAGCAGTCATATAAGGAGAACAGATATATTAAAAAAGAGTTCAGTTGACTGTAGCCGAATCGCAGAAAAGTCATGGAAATGAAAAATTTTACTGGAGGTGAAGACCTGCAAACAGCTGTAGAATTCTTCTGCTCTGCAGAATTTACTGGAGAGGTACATGGGTAATGGGTTCATGATAACGGTCACGAATATAGAGACATTAGGTGACAACTAAGCCCACTATGAGAATGTTGATGTAATGGCTGTAGTTACTGTAGTTGGTGTAGTAGCTGTAGTTGGTGTAGTTGCTGTAGTTGGTGTAGTTAATGTAGTTGCTAAAGTTGCCGTAGTTGATGTAGTTACTGTAGTTGCTGTAGTTGGTGTAGTAACTGTAGTTGGTGTAGTTAGTGTAGTTGCTGTAGTTGATGTAGTTGGTGTAGTAGCTGTAGTAGCTGTAATTGGTGTAGTTGCTGTAGTTAGTGTAGTTGCTGTAGTTAGTGTAGTAGCTGTAGTTGGTGTAGTAGCTGTAGTTAATGTAATTGCTGTAGTTACTGTAGTTGGTGTCGTATCTGTAGTTGGTGTAGTAGCTGTAGTTAGTGTAGTTGGTGTATTAGCTGTAGTTCCTGTAGTTGTGGTAGCTGCTGTAGTTGGTGTAGTTAGTGTAGTTGCTGTAGTAGCTGTAATTGGTGTAGTTGCTGTAGTTAGTGTAGTTGCTGTAGTTAGTGTAGTTGGTGTAGTTAGTGTAGTAGCTGTAGTTGGTGTAGTAGCTGTAGTTAATGTAATTGGTGTAGTTGCTGTAGTTGGTGTAGTTAATGTAGTTGGTGTAGTTGCTGTAGTTGATGTAGTTACTGTAGTTGCTGTAGTTGGTGTAGTAGCTGTAGTTGGTGTAGTAGCTGTAGTTGGTGTAGTTAGTGTAGTTGCTGTAGTTGGTGTAGTTGGTGTAGTAGCTGTAGTAGGTGTATTTGGTGTAGTTGGTGTAGTTAGTGTAGTTGGTCTAGTTAGTGTAGTTGGTGTAGTTAGTGTAGTTGGTGTATTAGCTGTAGTTGCTGTAGTTGTGGTAGCTGCTGTAGTTGGTGTAGTTAGTGTAGTTGGTGTAGTTGCTGTAGTTGATGTAGTTACTGTAGTTGCTGTAGTTGGTGTAGTAGCTGTAGTTGGTGTAGTAGCTGTAGTTGGTGTAGTTGATGTAGTAGCTGTAGTAGGTGTAGTTGGTGTAGTTGCTGTAGTTAGTGTAGTTGGTCTAGTTAGTGTAGTTGGTGTAGTTAGTGTAGTTGGTGTAGTTGGTGTAGTTAGTGTAGTTGGTGTAGTTGGTGTAGTTAGTGTAGTTAGTGTAGTTGCTGTAGTTGGTGTAGTAGCTGTAGTTGGTGAAGTTAGTGTAGTTGATGTAGTTAGTGTAGTTGCTGTAGTTGGTGTAGTTGGTGTAGTAGCTGTAGTAGGTGTAGTTGGTGTAGTAGGTGTAGCTGATGTCGTTGCTGTAGTTAGTGTAGTTGCTGTAGTTAGTGTAGTAGTTGTAGTTTGTGTAGTTGCTGTAGTTGGTGTAGTAGCTGTAGTTGGTGTAGTAGCTGTAGTTGGTGTAGATGCTGTAGTTAGCGTAGTTGGTGTAGTTAGTGTAGTTGGTGTAGTTAGTGTAGTTGGTGTAGTTGGTGTAGTTAGTGTAGTTAGTGTAGTTGCTGTAGTTGGTGTAGTTAGTGTAGTTGGTGTAGAAGCTGTAGTTGGTGTAGTTGGTGTAGTTAGTGTAGTTGCTGTAGTTAGGGTAGTTGCTGTAGTTGGTGTAGTAGCTGTAGTTGGTGTAGTTAGTGTAGTTGGTGTAGTTAGTGTAGTAGGTGTAGTTGGTGTAGTTGGTGTAGTTGCTGTAGTTAGTGTAGTTGGTGTACTTAGTGTAGTTGGTGTAGTTAGTGTAGTTCGTGTAGTTGGTGTAGTTAGTGTAGTTGGTGTAGTTGGTGTAGTAGCTGTAGTTGGTGTAGTTAGTGTAGTTGCTGTAGTTGGTGTAGTTACTTTAGTTCGTGTAGTATATGTAGTTGGTGTAGTATATGTACTTGGTGTAGTTAGTGTAGTTGGTATAGTATGTTCATTTGGTGTAGTTAGTGTAGTTGGTGTAGTAAATATAGTTGGTGTAGTTAGTGTCGTTGGTGTAGTATATGTAGTTGGTGTAGTGTGTGTAGTTGGTGTAGTATATGTAGTTGGTGTAGTTAGTGTAGTTTGTCTAGTATGTGTAGTTGGTGTAGTATATGTAGTTGGTGTAGTATGTTAGTTTGTAGTATGTAGTTTGTAGTGGTGTTATGTAGTTAATAGTTAGTATATGTGTGTTATGTAGTATATGTAGTTAATAGTATGTGTAGTGTGTAGTTAGTGTAGTTAATTGTAGTGGTTGTATATGATTGGTGCAGTGTAGTTGGTGTAGTGTAGTTAGTTAATTTAGTGTGTGTTAATGTTGGTGTAGTAGTTATTGTGAATTCTAGTGTAATTTGGTGTAGTATATATTGATGTAGTTAGTTAGTGTAATTGGTAGCTGTAGTTGTAGTATATGTAGTTGGTGTAGTTTGTATATTATGGTTAGTTATTTGTAGTTAGTGTTAGTTGGTGTAGTATCTGATATATAGTTGGTGTAGTAGTACGTAGTTGGTGTCGTAGTATGTGTAGTTGGTGTAGTATATGGTGTACTTAAGTTGGCGTAGTATGTAGCAATTAGTTAGTGTAGTTAGTGTAGTTAGTGTAGTTGTGTAGTTGTGTGTTAGTGTAGTTCGTGTGCTATGTAGTTGGTGTAGTTGTGTGTGTGTTGGTGTAGTATGTGTAGTTGGTGTAGTTTGTGTACTTGGTGTAGTTAGTGTAGTTCGTGTAGTTACTGTAGTTGGTGTAGTATATGTAGTTGGTGTAGTTAGTGTAGTTTTTACACAAAACTACTCCACCTACATCAAACTAAACCAACACTTCACACAACACAACACTTCACCAAACTACACTTACTAAATTAAACTACACCAAACTACACAAACTACACAAAAGTACACCAAACTACACCAACTTCACCAAACTACACCAACTACACAAAACTACACCAAACTACACCAACTTCATCAAACTACACCAAGTACACAAAACTACACCAATTACACAAAACTACACCAAACTACCCCTACTACAACAAACTACACCAACTACCCAAAACTACACCAACCTACGCCAAACTACACCTACTACACCAAAGTACAACAAACTACACCAACTACAGAAAACTGCACCAACCTACATCAAACTACACCTACTACACTAAACTACACCAAACTACACCAACTACACAAAACTACACCAAACTACACTAACTACACAAAACTACCCCAACTACAGCTACTACATCAACCACAGCAACTACAGCTACTACACCAACTAAAGCTACTGTAGCAACTACACATACTACACATACTACAAGTACTACACCAACTACAACTACTACACCAACTACAGCTACTACAACAACTACAGCTACTACACCAACTAAAGCTACTACACCAAATACAGCTACTACACTAACTACACCAACTACAGCTACTACAGCAACTACAGCAACTACATCAACTACAGCAACTACACTAACTACACCAACTACAGCAACTACACCAACTATAGCAACTACAGAAACTACAGCAACTACAGTAACTACGCGAACTACACTAACTACACCAACTACACCATCTACAGCTACTACACCAACTACAGCTACTACACCAGCTACAGCAACTACACTAATTACATGAACTACACCAACTACAGCAACTACACTAACTACACCAACTTCAGCGATTACATTAACTACACCAACTACAGCTACTACACCAACTACAGCAACTACACCAACTACAGCTACTACACTAACTACACCCACTACACTAACTACACCAACTACACTAACTACAGCAACTACACCAGCTACACCTACTACACCAACTACACCTACTACAGCTACTACACCAACTACACCAACTACACCAACTACACTAACTACACCAACTACAGCTACTACAGTAACTACAGCAACTACAGTAACTACACAAACTACACGAACTACACTAACTACACCAACTACACTAGCTACACTAGCTACACCAACTACAGCTCAACTACACCAACTACAGCTACTACACTAACTACGCCAACTACACCAACTACACCAACTACAGCAACTACACCAACTACACCTACTACAGCTACTACACCAACTACACCAACTACAGCAACTACACTAACTACACCAACTACAGCTACTACACCAACTACAGCAACTACATTAACTACACCAACTACACCAACTACAGCAACTACAGCTACCACACCAACTACAGCTACTACACTAACTACATTAACTACAACTACTACACCAACTACAGCAACTACACTAACTACACCAACTACACTAACTACACCAACTACAGCTACTACACCAACTACAGCAACTACACCAACTACAGCTACTACACCAACTACAGCTACTACACCAACTACACCTGTAGGCGAATATGAACTGTATTTTATTCCAAGGATTGTCAGGCTCGATTCCTAAAGGTTACAACACTCCGAAGGGTCCAACTTCTAAAGGATTACACAGGATTCCACAGATTCAATTCACTAAAGGCTCACAGATCGTCAAGATGGCTACAAGAACACAACACGTTTTTCGGATCTCTCCCAGAAGGCCTAGCGCGCTCCTAAACTCTTACGTCATCGCGCACACTCCCCCCCGTGGACCATGAAGAATGGTCCACCTTCTATACCTAGAATCAAACATCGAAAAGAAATAATGATATAACTCTGTGAAAATAGTCTCTCTCAAAAAAAAACTGTTCAATGTTCAGAATACATAAAAAAACTTAATGTTCGTCTTGTAATTCAGCAATCCACTGTCTTCTTCTTCGCTCTCCCTCGACTGCAGCTCTACGCCGCTCTCGATTTCCTCTCGCTCGATCTTGCGTCGGCTGTTCCGGTGATTCAAGTACTTGTTCCTGAGGAGCTGCTTCATTCATAGAACAGCTTACTTCCAGTGGGTAAACAATTGTAGCGGTCTCCTTAAGAGTCCACCTCCACTTGATCCTCTCCCTTGGACTCTGACCTCAGCACCTCTACTCTGCCCATCCTTGCTCATCAGAAGCCGTTCCACCTTGCCCATCTTCCAGTAAGATCTTGGGTGGGTTTCGTCATGAACCAATACCAGATCTCCGACACACACTACCCTTGATCCCGCCGTCTTCTTCAATTGGTTATGGGCATTTCGTAATTCAAGAAGGTATTCTGCTCTCCAACGCTTCCAAAAATGAGTCAGAATCATATCAAGGTGTCTTGTTCTTCTGCTCAGGTCGTCCGGCGAAATTCTAAAATCTGCATCTGCAGGACTGTCTATTTCAGGAAGGGCGCCGAGTCTTCGACCAACAATGAGGTGGGACGGTATGAGGGGTTCTTCCAGGTCCTCAGAAGAGACATATGAAATGGGTCGGCAATTTAAGATCATTTCAGCTTCTGTAACAACAGTTACAAGTTCATAATAGGAAAGCTTGGCTCGGCCGATTGTCTTCTTAAGACATCTCTTCAGTGACTTGACAAGTCGTTCGTAAAAGCCTCCCCACCATGGGGCTTTCTCTAAGTTGTAGGACCATTTGATCTTCTCTTGAGCAAAGTACTTAACAACACTGGGATCACTTGTAATCTTCTCAAGCTCCTTAGAAGCACTCTTGAAGGTCTTGGCATTGTCTGATACCACTAAAGAAGGCCTTGAACGACGAGCTACAAATCTTCTGAAGCACCTCAGAAATGCCTCTGAAGTCATATTGGGCACAACCTCGAAGTGGACCGCCCTCGTAGAACAACAAGTAAACAAACAAATCCAGACCTTACATTCTTCGTCACTGGTAGACTTCACAAAAAGAGGTCCAACATAATCCAAACCGATGTACGAGAATACAGGCGCCTCTTTCACTCTGTAGTTAGGCAGGGGTGGAGCTTGTGGAACCTTATACGGTTTCCCTTCAAACTTCTTACAAACTGTGCATCTAAACAACAAACTTCTGATAAAGTATCGGCCTCGAACAATCCAAAAGTTCGATCTCAACTCGGTGAGTGTTTCCTTAACTCCTCCATGCATGACTCTTTCGTGACATCTCCAGACTACAAGTGTAGTTAAGTGGTGGCTAGCGTCAAGCAAGATTGGATACTTCGCAGAATCTGTAAGCTCGCTGTTCCCGAGTCTACCTTGACATCGAATAACTCCCTTATCGTCCTCAAACAACCCTAGCTGGTGCGACCTCATCTTAAACTTCTCCTTACTCTTCATCTCTCGTTGTATTTCCTTGATCCATAGAAGTTCGGCTTCTTCTATGTCTGCACCGGTCACACGTATCTCCGGCTTCTGATTCACATCTCCCTGTCGCTGTGCCTTTAATAGCTTAATAAACTTCAGAACTAAGGCTGTAACTCGCAGGAGACGTCCAAGATTACTGAAGGCTTCACTTTGAATGATATTACACAGCATAGTAGGTTCACTGTTCATTGCAAGAGCAGTCGTTACTGTCTTTCGATCCTTCACCCTCATTTCTACAAGGCAGGCTTCAGGGACTGGCTCTTCCGCAATCTCCTTCCGATTCTCCAGGCCTTCGAAACTAGTCAGCCACTTGGGACCATTCCACCATAGCACACTGTTCTCCAACTCACGACAGTCCATACCTCTAGAGAGTAAGTCGGCTGGGTTGTCAGCCCCTGGACAATGATTCCAGCATTCTTCAGGTACAAGCTTTCTTATCTCGTCAACACGGTGCTGAACAAATGGTTTCCACTCCTTCTGGCTCTGAACAATCCAATACCAGGCTATCTTGGAATCTGTCCAACAAAACAATTTGTCAATCTTCATCTCAGAACTAAGTGCTTCCTTTACGCTATGGATCAGTCTGGACAGGACTACCGCGGATAACAGTTCTAGACGCGGTATGGTCTGCTCCGAGAGAGGTGCTACTCGTGTTTTTGAAGATAAAAATCTGACATAACTTGCACACGTCGTCACAATACGCAGAAAGACCACCGCGCCGTATGCCTTAGCTGATGCATCACAGAACCCATGCAGTTCACTCGCAATCACTTCCCCTTCCGTGCCAGCATAATAACTTCTCGGAAGAGTAAGAGGTTTAACACCCTGCAGTTGTGTCACCAATCTCTGCCAGATTGACTTGCAAGAACCTTCCAGTGGTTCGTCCCAGTCTCTCTGGTCCTTGCACAACTCTTGAAACAGGATTTTAAACTGGACTGTGATCGGAGAAATCAGACCGAGTGGATCATACATTTTTGACGCTGTGCTAATCACGTTTCTCTTAGTAGGTTCTACTCTCTTTGTTAAAGAGGCAGTGTTTGTAAAATCAAAGACGAGGTTGTCATTTTGATAGTTCCATAGAGTCCCTAAAATTCTTTGAACGCTAACATCTTCAACTGCACTTCCTAGAACACTTCTTGAATAGGTCATATCTTCTTCTTCCACGACGTTTGTGTCTACTACTGTTGTTTCAACAGCCTGCTTGTCAACATTCCCTCCATCTCCAGAAGCTGTTTCTCCTGAGACCAATCTCTCATTGTCCTCAATTCTCGCTCGCAGTTCTCCTGAATTTGTGATAAACTTCCGCAAATTGAAACCTGCTTCCCTGAGCCTCGATTTCGATTTCACATAGAGCTCAAAGGTGCTGTCCACGTCACTGTCCCCCGATGTCAAGTCATCAACATAGATACTTTCAAGAAACTTCCTGGTAAAATCAGGGTCACATTGTTCATACTGCTCTATATGATGTTTAATTGTGGCGTTCAGTAAGAATGGGCTTGAAGACAGTCCAAACACAACACGTGTAAACCTCAGTGTAATAACTTTAGGTTCAGCCTTATCGATGTCATCGACCCACAGGAAACGGAGTACATCCTTGTCAGTTTCATTCATATGGACCATTAAGAACGCCTTCTCAATGTCTCCCACCAGAGCTACTCTGTGATTTCGGAACCTCAACATAATGTCGAAGATACTTTGTGTAAGCGCAGGACCGGCATGAAGACAATCATTTAATGAAGCTCCACCTGACTTGGCTGAGGCGTCATATACAATTCTTAACTTTGTAGTTGACTTGTCTCGTCTGATAACAGCGTGATGAGGGATGTAATGGACGACATCAGGCTTGGTTTCTTCATTCACAACTTCCACAATTCCTCTTTCGATTTGATCCTTTATAACACTGTCATACTCCTTCAGGATGTCTGGCTTCTCACGGAGTCGACTCAGCAAACCTTGCAATCTTCGAAGACTCAACTCATAATTTTCAGGGAGTGGTGGATGTGTAGCCTTCCACGGGAGACTGACCTCATAGTGGTCTCCCTTGTACAACAACTTCTCAACAAACTCTTCATAGACACTTGGCGGCTTCACACCGAGAGACTCTAAGTCCCAGAACTTCTTCAACTCTCCCTGAAGACCATCATAGGACACTTGATCAGTAGCACATTTTAAGACATGGGTTGTCACAAGATTACTTCTCTGTTGATTTTCTACACTCCCTAAGCAAACGGGTCCTGAAAGTACCCATCCCAGTTTGGTGTGAACAGCTGTAGGACCTTGGGCCCCTTTAATGGTGTGGCCAGTCACCAACTTCCAATAATAATCTGAACCAACTAGAATGTCAACACCAAGAGTCTCTCCTTCGGTACAAAAGTCAGCAAGTTTGAGTCCCGAAAGGCAGGGGTTATTTTTCACTGCTAGCTCCACAGGTTGGCCTTGTAATGGTTGACAAATCAGAGGCAATGTAAAAGCTGACAGTGAAAGGTCTGGTTCTCCGTTTAGCTCTACTCCTACTGCCACAACTTCTACCAACTCTAATCTTTCAACGGTACTTCCAAAAGTTTTTATTGAGACTTGCTTCTTCTCTAGTATAGGTAGTCGAAGAATGTTCTTCAGGTTGTTTGTAAGATAGGTGCGCTGACTTCCACTGTCCAAGATTATTCTAGCCCTGACCTTAACCTCTGGCTGTTGAGGATTGTACACCACTGCTTGGGCAGTTTGAAGGAACACAGGTGTAGTGGAATCAGTATGAAAAACGACACTATTGCTGGCAGTTTGGGCTGTTAAGCATTGCTGTTGTGGTCCTGGTGTGGGAACTGGTGTTTCACGTTTCGTTGGCTGTAAAGGACTCAGGTGGGCTGGGCAAATACTAACATGGTGTCTGCCCTTGCAGTTATGACACTTGAATTTGGCTGAGCAGTTACGACTAATGTGATCTTTTCGCAGGCAAACAAAACATCTCCCGTACTTCTTCAAAAGCTCCTTACGAGCTAGTACATCAGGTACTGTTTGGCAATCCCTTGATGGGTGTTTTCCCTTACAGTAGGTGCAGGTGGGACAGTTAGCATCACCACCAGTTAACAAGGCATGTGTAGTTCCTTCTTCCCTTCGTTTCGGTTTTGGTGGAGAGGTTTGTCCTTTGTTCACTGTAGACCCTCTTGCCCTTTCTCTTGCCTCAAGTTCTCTTTTAAAAATATTGAGCAATTGATCCAACTGCCAATCATCATCTCCAATTTCTCTTGTAATAACAAGACGAAATTCTTGAGGTAGCTTATTCATTAAGATGGATGATAGCAAACCCCCATACGATTCACGTGAAACTCCTAATGACTTTAAGCTTCTCACATTAGATTCAACAGTGTCGTGCAGCTGACGTAGGCTTCTTACATGGTAGTGAGATGTGACAGATTCAAGATTCAACAAAATTTCCATGTGACGATTAATTATTTGCTGCTTGTTGCCAAATCTAGCTTTCAAAATGTCTATTGCTTCCTCATAGTTCGATGCCCCAAGACTTAACCCGGAAATGGCCTCTGCCGCTGACCGTTCGAGCAACGAGTTTAGGTAGTTAAATTTGTCAATGGCAGTTAAACTCTCATTTTTATGAACTGAGGCTTCAAAACTATCCCAGAAAGAAATCCACTTACTGTGATCGCCGTCGAACTTCTTTAACTCCAGCTTTGGCAATTTAACTTGAGTATTTCTCCGCACAGATGAAGAGGAATTCGACGTTGAAGCTGAAGGAGGCGAAGAATTACTCCCGATTTGAACTTCATTTGCTGACGTGCTTTCCGACACGTTCGCTTCGGTATTTACATTTGAACACACGACCTTCGGCGACAAGGCATTTTCTATGTTAGCAATAGCCAACTGAACATTTTCCTCCAGCAAATCTGCTCGTTCAATTTCACCTTCGATTTCTTCTTCGGCCACAAGGTCAAGAATTTCTGCATCAAGTTGCCGAAGAGTATTGAGTTTCTGCTGTAGGCTGTCCCTTTGTTGTTTCAGCTTGATTTCGTGTTCCCGCACTTGAGAAATGTCTCCTCCTCCAAGGACATCAATAACGGATGAAATAATACGTTTCGCACTTGACCTGTGCCCTGCACGCTGCCGTCGCTTTCTGGCGAGTTCTTCGGCCATAACACAACACAACTTCACTCGCAACTGGTACGTAGCATCCGCTTTTATCCGGCTAACGATGGACCATCTAGGCGAATATGAACTGTATTTTATTCCAAGGATTGTCAGGCTCGATTCCTAAAGGTTACAACACTCCGAAGGGTCCAACTTCTAAAGGATTACGCAGGATTCCACAGATTCAATTCACTAAAGGCTCACAGATCGTCAAGATGGTTACAAGAACACAACAAGTTTTTCGGATCTCTCCCAGAAGGCCTAGCGCGCTCCTAAACTCTTACGTCATCGCGCACAACACCAACTACACTAACTACACCAACTATAGCAACTACAGCAACTACACTAACTACAGCTACTACACCAACTACAGCTACTACACCAACTACAGCTACTACACCAACTACACCAACTACACCAACTACACCAACTACAGCAACTACACCAACTACAGCAAGTACAGCTACTACACCAACTACAGCAACTACACTAACTACACCAACTTCACCAACTACAGCTACTACACCAACTACACTAACTACACCAACTACAGCTACTACACTAACTACACCAACTACACTAACTACACCAACTACAATAACTACAGCAACTACACCAACTACAGCTACTACACCAACTACAGCGACTACACTAACTACAGCAACTACACTAACTACACCAACTACACTAACTACACCAACTACAGCAACTACACCAACTACACCAACTACACTAACTACACCAACTACAGCAACTACACTAACTACACCAACTACACCAACTACACTAACTACACCAACTACACTAACTACACCAACTACACTAACTACAGCAACTACACCAACTACAGCTACTACACTAACTACACCAACTACACTAACTACACCAACTACATTAACTACAGCAACTACACCTACTACAGCTACTACACCAACTACACCAACTACACTAACTACACCAACTACAGCTACTACACCAACTACAGCTACTACACCAACTACAGCAACTACAGTAACTACATCAACTACAGCAACTACACCAACTACATTAACTACACCAACTACACCAACTACAGCAACTACAGCTACTACACCAACTACACTAACAACACCAACTACAGCTACTACACCAACTACAGCTACTACACTAACTACAGTAACTACAGCAATTACATCAACTACAGCTACTACACCAACTACAGCTACTACACCAACTACCCTAACTACAGCAACTACACTAACTACAGCTACTACACCAACTACACCTACTACAGCTACTACACCAACTACAGTAACTACAGCAATTACATCAATATTCTCATTGTGGGCTTAGTGGTCACTTAATGTCTCTATATTCGTGACGGTTATCATGAACCCATTACCGGTACATGGCGAGCTCATTTTTCTCTCTGTCGTTAACACTTGTTTGTCCATTACAGCATTTTTAGGGAACGCTCTGATCCTAGTTGCCCTACACAAGGACACATCAATTCATCCGCCGTCCAAACTCCTGTATCGTAACCTAGCGATAACTGATCTTTGTGTTGGTATCATGGGGGAGCCTCTGTATGTTGCTTGTATGATGTCTGTGGTGAACAAAAGATGGGCTATATGCTATTACGCATGTTTGGCAGTATATTTCGCAGGTGTTACTTTGTGTGGAGTGTCGTTGATAACACTGACTGCAATAAGCGTGGACAGACTTCTCGCTTTGCTACTGGGTCTCAGATACAGACAAGTTATAACTTTGAAAAGAACATGTTTAATTGCTATTGGTGGTTGGATTGTGTCCATTGTCGGTGCATCTATCTCCTTTCTTAATCTTCGTATATTTTCATTGTACCAATATATTGCTACAGCTTTTTGTTTAGTTACTGCAATCTGTGCCTACATAAAAATTTTCATGTCTCTGCGTCATAACCAAATTCATGGTCAGAACCATGTTGTTCAAGGACAATCGAGCCAAGCAAATACACTGAATATAGCTCGATACAGAAAGGCAGTATACAGTGCACTGTGGGTGCAGGTAACATTGGTTATTTGTTATCTGCCGTACAGTATAGCTGTAGCTTTCAGAACACGTCAAGGGGGGATGCTTATATCTACTTACCTTGCTAGGGAATTTACAGTTACTTTATTGTATTTAAACTCGTCGTTAAACCCCTTGCTGTACTGCTGGAAGATCACAGAAGTGAGACAAGCTGTAAAAGAAACATTACAACTACACTTCCGTATCAACTAAGACTTAGACTAAGAGTTATGGAATTAAGACTACCAGTTGTAAAAAGCCGTCCAGAAAGTATAGTTTTAGCTTGTCAAAGGAACCTTTACTAACAAACCTGATAGGAAACTGATAGGAAACTATTGTGCTATTTGTTTTGCCAATTGCACGGCAGCAACAAGATTGCAAATAACTCTGTTGTCGTTTAATAAAATGAAAATACAGCTCACGTATCTAACTGGTTTTTGACATGATGAAGCTATCATATAAGAAAAACAGATCTACTGTATTTAAAAAAGGTTCGCTTGAACGTATTTGCTTCGGAGAAAAGTCATGGTAATGCCAAACTAGCAAACAATTAGAGAACTGTATTGTTCTGCAAAATTCACTGGAGAGTCGAGGAGAGGTACATGGCGAGCTAATTTTTCTCTAAGACAAAGGAGGACAGCTAAATATGATGGTGGTGCAAGTTCCATGTTAATATTTTGGGTTTACTATACTCAATCGAAGTGACGTCACCATGGCGTTTTTAATTTTTAATATTCTACCTTTCTGATAACAGATCCGAATTGCACGCTCCGGGAGATGATGTGAACGAGGGAAATAAATTTAAAAACAATTTAAATGAAGATATAATCTTGACTAGTGAAATAGCAATTTAAGCAATTGCTAACAAACCGCCCAAAATGTTAAAGTTATAGCCCACACAGTTTGACATGTTTGGGGATATACTCGGATAAGACTTCCTCGTCAAAGAAAATGTAGCCAGTGAAGTGAAGTGCGACAAGCTGTAAAAGAAACATTACAACAAATACACTTCTGTATCAACTATGACTTAGACTAAGACTTATGGCAATAAGACTACCAGTTGTAAACCGCCGTCCAGAAAGTGTAGTTTTGGCTTGTTAAAGGAACATCTACAAACGAACTTGATAGGAAACTATAAAATATGAAAGAAAAAAAATAATTAGAACTTTATTCTTTTTTAAGTTTACGTGGAACCACACCTCGCTTGTCATTTGTTTTTCACCAAATTCAAATCAAATATGTCTCAAACATGAAAGAGGAGCTTTCGTGGCTTTTGACTGAATGGAGAGGAGCCCAGAGAAAATACGTTTTACCTTTCAATAGGTAACAACAGCTCGACTTAGAATATCAGACAAACGACTTATTGACGAGATCAAGCAAACCTAACTTCGAGAGAATGACAATTTGCCTAACAATAGACGACTGTTTAACTGTGACAATAGACGGATCGAAACGCACCAATTACTGATTACGAGTCTTCATAGCCAATAACTTCACGGCTTAACTGACAGACGATCAATAACATCGCAACGTAATTGAACAATCAGATCAATAACCAGAGTATAATACCATCAACTGACGTGATACAATTCACTTTGACTCTGAAGATGACTACCGCACAGGTTGTCGAACGTCAGTCACTGTAAACAACAACAGTCCTATTCAGGACTACGTTCACCCGGAAACAACCTACTTTTGAAATGACTCCTGGGCTCAAACCTTTCACAAATGTCTTGTATCTTTCCGAATTGAACCGTTAAGACTGTTTTCAGTCTCATTGCAGGTTATATTTAGACAAAAACAAAACTCATTAGGATCGAAAACCTCTCCCCCTCCCCCCGAAAGAGCTCTTCGAAGAGGATCAAGGACCGGACCAGGGAAACGCCGGAAATCGAGCCCACAAACTCATTTGTTCATGTTCAACATGCAAGCTATCAATCAGAGTAATCTTAATACAAAATGGATACTCACTAGTTATCTGCAAGCTAATAATCAGAGTAATCTTAATACAAAATGGATACTCACTAGTTATCTAATTACTTGTCTGATAATGAAGACCCAATGAAGGCTATGAATAAGCCACAGAAAGAGAACAGCTCATTTGCACGCAGTTACGTCACAGAGACACCAGCCAGAAAACCGTCAGAGAATTGTAATGTTCTGCGAAATGTACTTTAAAATACAGTAGCATAAATAGCAGCTGTTTATCAAACAAAAACCACTATGTTAATGATATATGAAATAAATCATATATGAACTGCGGAAATGAAATGAAGATGAAGAAATGATCGTCGCAGTGAACGCAATTTATGCAATTGCGTAAAGAAGCCTGAAAAAAAAATTCAGGACTTCAACGGGGTTTGAACCCGTGACCTCGCGATTACCGGTGCGATGCTCTACCAACTGAGCTATGAAGCCACTGACGTTGGGAGCAGGTCAATTGTGGGTTCATATGTTCCCGTGAAAGAAATGAGTGTTAATTATATATGAAATAAATCCACCTTTCCCCTTTCCCCCCGAAACGCCCGATACTCAGTCTATAACAACTACAAAACACAAATTAACTGCTCTGTTGACCTTACTGGAGAGGTACATGGCGAGCTTGTTTTTCTCTCTGTCATTAACATTGTTTTGTCAATTACAGCATTTTGGGGGACTAGTCTGATCCTAGTTGCCCTTCACAAGGACACATCAATTCATCCGAAATCCAAACTCCTGTAACGTAACCTAGCGATAACCGATCTTTGTGTTGGTATCATTGTTGAGCCTCTGAATGTTGCTCATTGAACATCCGTGGTGAACAAAAGATGGGATATTTGCTATTACACATTGACAGCATATTTCCCAGGTGTTACTTTGTTTTCAGTGTCGTTGATAACACTGATTACAATAAGCGTGGACAGACTTCTCGCTTTGCTACTGGGTCTCAGATACAGACAAGTTGTAACTTTGGAAGGAACATGTTTAATTGCTATTAGTGGTTGGATTGTGTCTGTTGTCGGTGCATCTACATCCCTTCTGAATCTTCTCATAGTTTCATTGTCCCAATATATTGTTACAGCTTTTTGTTTAGTCACTACAATTTGTGCCTACACAAAACTTTTCACGTCTCTGCGTTATAACCAAATTCATGGTCAGAACCATGTTCAGCATGTTGTTCAAGGGCAGTCGAGCCAAGTAAATACACTGAATAAAGCTCGATACAGAAAGGCAGCGTACAGTGCACTGTGGGTGCAGGTAACATTGGTTATTTGTTATCTGCCGTACGGTATAGCTGTAGCTTCACTGTACCTTGGCATTAGTTTTACTTAACCCATTCGCCCCTGAACCGCCTGTAACCGCCCGTGCGGATCCACGTCCTTTCTACCCTTTGTGACGTCATCAGTTTTAACGGTCAAGGACAACTTTGTCCACTAACTTGTGCAGAGTGAAGAGATCTTTCAAACCATAACGGAATGAGCACAATTCAGTCAAGGATACCGGAGAAAGAAGCAAAAAACCATGTGACATTGACCTGAAAATCTCCATGAAAATCTTGCTCCATTGCTCACCTACCTTTCCTTTCACCTAATCATAAGATCCTAAAAGCTTTCCTAAAGACTCTTCCCACCAAAACGAATCCTACTAAATGCCCAGCAAGAGAAAAAAAAATGAGGCAAGAAAAGCGAGAAAAGAGGGGAGGAGAGAAAGCGAAATTTTGCTTTCTGCGCATGCCCGAACTTTACAAGCTGATATTTTGAATCTGGATCAGAAGGCCGCGAAGTGTACGACCTGTAAACCGCTTTGGGGTAAGTTTTAGTTTTTTGTAGCACGACAGTGACCAGAAAACCACTCGACTAGCTTCAAAACACGTTTTTCGGCAAACTCTTCAGGAGCGAATGGGTTAATGTCCCCCCGTATGGTTCAAAAGATCGCTAAATAGCACAAAACGCGAGTTTAATTTATAAACACTCGTAGAAATTCTTGGTGGAGATGTGTTGCCCGGTTCTCCAAATCCTGAGCCTGACAAAAATTCTACTTCCTACACCCATAGTTTTAAGATCTATGGTCTGATTTCCGTCTCTAACATCCATGACAGGGGTCACAAACGCGATGTACATGTTTAGGTGTAAATCATGTCATCATCGTTTGGAGTATATAACTGTGGATGATATGTTTCGGTTATTATTCACGTAAAGGTGAGTAACGTCTCCCCTCTTCCTCATATCCCAACGCTTAGAAATGGAATTGTGGCATCTCTAAGACTTTTTCTACCACTAACGCCGATACTATTTTATTAAAAAGGTATTTTAGGTATTTTTAGGTATTTTATTTATTTGCCACACGATTACAATAATTACAAAAAGATGACAAAAAAAAAAAATGAAGGAAGAGATGGCGAGGAGGCCTAAAAGAAACTATAGAGCTTATGTTAATTAGGCCTCCTCAATTACAATTTTTCGAAGATGGCGTAAAAATTACCGCGACGGATACAATATAATATGAGGTGAAAAATTAAACTAATCAATATTACGGAAGTTTGCAAATGTTGAATATTAAAAGGCTTTTTCCCAAGATTTTTGTTGGAGTATACTAATAATTATTACAAATAAATGCCTTAAGTGCTCTTTTAAAGGAGAAAGGTGAGGAAGCGTTGATGATGTTGGTGTTTAGGTCCTTGATAAAAAACGGAAAATTGTTTGGTTCGAGTACGACAGAAAGGCAGACGAAATTTACACGAGTTTCTTGTATTATACGAATGAATTTGACTTTGTAAGGTAATTTTACAATGAAATTTTAAGGGGGTAAAAAAGGGGTAGCCTTGGATCCACTACAGTGCTTATCAAGTAAGTACCGGCTGGGTACCTAAAGAATGGTGTGACCAGGAAATGTGAAGGAACCAAAAAGGCTTCGGAAAGTTTTACCCCGAGAACGAGTAGCAGGATAGCAAAAGTTAACAACAACACTGAACGAGGTCAAATGAACATGCAGAACAATTTACTGTGCACAACTGATTTATTCACATATTTATATAATCTATAAGTAAATCTTTAAGGACTACATACATTAACCAGCAAAGACCTAATAAATTATTTGATTATGTCGGCTGGAATAAGATTCAGCACGTGTAAATGATAGTTCCGATGCCTTTCAATTTTACCCGTTTCCGAAAGAGGTTTATAGTCCTCTTTTGGAACATAATTGATCAAACCTGTACTGCACCTACATGACTG